TACACACACACACAGACGGAGACACACATAGACACACCTCCACACACAGACACACACACAAACATACACACACACACACACACACAGCCACTCAGACACACACGCCCACACACACCCACTCAAACACCCACACTCAGACACACACCCACCCACACACACTCAGACACACACACACACCCACTCAAATACCCACACAGACACACACACCCACACACAGACACACCCACACACACACACCCACTCAAACACCCACACAGACACACACACACCCACTCAGACACCCACACTCAGACACACACACACACACACACACACACACACACACACACCCACACTCAGACACACACACCCACTCAGACACACACACACACCCACTCAAATACCCACACAGACACACACACCCACACAGACACACACACACACACCCACACTCAGACACACACCCACACGCACACACACACACACAGCCACTCAGACACACACACCCACTCAGACACAGAGACACACCCACACACACACACACTCACTCAAACACCCACACAGACACACACACCCACACACAGACACACACACCCACACTCAGACACACACACACACACAGAGTTGCCAGCGTGATAAAAAGAGATGTCCTATTTCCTCCTATGTTAAGTGGACAGCTCGTGTCCTTCAGGAAACATACAGAAAACAAGGCCCTGTCATGGGATGGATCCTCGCTGGCGGCTCCTGTCACCTCATGCAGGTGATCAGAGAGGATTGTGGGTAATTTATAGCGCCGGCAAGAAAAGCACTTGACACAGGAAACCACGGCGTCATGATCGACCGGCTCGATTTGTCTAAGTGCGGCTAACTGTGCGTTTCTAAGTTTGATAAAGTTGTAGCACCAGGCCCGAGAGGGGAAGGATGGTACACTGCAAAAAGTGATGAAGAGTAAGTCAAAAATGGATCAAATTTGGCAAAATGTATCTTAGTTTAAGCACATTTTGACTGCCTTCAAACAAGATTGTATTTCTATTTTTATTTGTATTATTTTTTATTTTATTTAAAAAAAATAAAACTATTATTTTATTATTATTTTGATAATATTATGTTATTATTATTATCATTATTATTATATTATCAAAAACATGATAATGATTATTGTTTCTATTATTATTATTGTTACTATTATTTATAGTTCATTTTGTATTGTTTTGTTCTCTTGTCTTTGTGTTAGGCTTGTTCTGTTTGTGGTTGTACTTTTGTGTTTTTGTTTTAGGTTGATGTGTCTGCTTTGGTGTCTTTAATTAAAAAAAAGACAACAAAAATTGCCAACAGGAAATAGCAAAATGAACTTGTTTCACACAGACACTAGAAATGTCTCTCTTGGAAGGAGAAAATACAGTAAAAGTTCTTGAATTAAGACTAAATGGCTTTGTCAAATCTTGTTTTAAAACTATCAAAATGAACATCAAATTAAGATAGACACCACTCCAATTATTACATCATATTCTATCTTTTTTGCAGTGTAGAACCAGGCTTGAGAGCGGGAAAAAACACATAAAAAATTTGATGAGAAAGCATACATTAGCTGGAGAGGACGGCAGATTGAAGAAGTCCTCTCTCCAGAATACAGGGGCCATTCTTTCAATATTTGATGCAGACGGATCGCTGTTCACTCCAGTGGAACAAACTGGATTGGAGTCCGGTCAGTCGTCTGGAAAAGGCTGTAATTTAAAAATCCGTATCCTGCGAGTGTCCTTAAGATCCTCATTTCCTTCTAAATAAAAAGCTGTGACCTCCGGAGCGGCCCACCTGGGTTTCTGCCCTCAGCCGCAAGGTCACATCTGCATCCGAGGGCCGCGTTCACAGGCAAATACCAACCAAAACATCCATCTACGGCAGATAAAAGCGCAATCTCACCTTCCAAATTGCACGAAGAAAAACGTCTTCCCGTCCTTGCCTGAACATATTAATGATTTATAAATATTTACATGAGATTATGGAGCGTTTGGAATTAAAAAGCTTAGCCATTTTGAGGAATATATGTGTGTGTAGGAGACAGTTACCCAGACTGCATGGGAGGAGGTTCTTGTCTGAAATCAGTTTTATGAATTGTGTTGTTTGCTATGAAAGGAAATTGTTGGTAGAAAAACGCAGAGAAAAGAATGAAATAAATGTATTTTATCTTTTTGGAGTCGACAAAGACACAAAAGCAGTGTTTTAAAGTAGAGTAGATGGTGGTTAAGTGGACGTCGAATTTGTTGTGTTATTTTACTTTGTGTGTGTGTGTGTGTGTGTGTGTGCATGTGTGTGTGGGTTAGTTGATGCAAATGTATACCTGTGTTTCTGTGATTGTCTCTGTGTGTGCATGTGTGTCTGTGGATAGCTGTGTTTCTGTGTGTGTCTTTGTGTGTGTGTGCGTGGGTATATATATGTGTGTGTCTGTGTCTCAGTGTGTCTGTGTGTATCTGTGTATGCACGTCTGTGTCTCAGTGTACGTGTGTGTTTGTATCTCTGCCTGTGTCTCTGTGTGTACGTGTGTGTGTCTGTATCTCTGCATGTGTCTGTGTCTCAGTGTGTGTGTGTCTCAGTGTGTACGTGTGTGTGTCTGTGTGTGTCTGTATCTCTGCATGTGTCTGTGTCTCAGTGTGTGTGTGTCTTAGTGTGTACGTGTGTGTGTCTGTGTGTGTCTGTATCTCTGCATGTGTCTGTGTCTCAGTGTGTGTGTGTCTCAGTGTGTACGTGTGTGTGTCTGTATCTCTGCATGTGTCTGTGTCTCAGTGTGTGTGTGTGTCTTAGTGTGTACGTGTGTGTGTCTGTATCTCTGCATGTGTCTGTGTCTCAGTGTGTGTGTGTCTTAGTGTGTGTGTGTCATAGTGTGTACGTGTGTGTGTCTGTGTTTGTCTGTATCGATGCATGTGTCTGTGTCTCAGTGTGTGTGTGTCTTAGAGTGTACGTGTGTGTGTCTGTGTTTGTCTGTATCGATGCATGTGTCTGTGTCTCAGTGTGTGTGTGTCTTAGTGTGTACGTGTGTGTGTTTGTCTGTATCTCAGTGTGTGTGTTTGTCTGTATCTTTACATGTATTTGTGTCTCTCTCTGTGTGTGGGTCTGTGTCTGTATCTCTACATGTGTGTGTGTTTGTGTATGTGTCTCAGTGTGTGTGTGTGTGTGTGTGTGTGTCTGTATCTCTGCATGTGTCTGTGTCTCAGTGTGTGTGTGTGTGTGTGTGTGTGTGTGTGTATCAGTGTGTGTGTGTGTCTGTGTGTATTTACTCTTTTCTTTTAGATAAAGCAGGCATGTCAAAGTCAAATACATCAGAGGGCCAAAAAAACAAATTTGCTGCGAGCCGAGGGCCGGACTGGTTTAATGTTTATTAACTCATTGCCTGCCAGCCCATTTCAGAACAGGTACTCCCATATTTCCAGCAGTTACTGATGATTTTTATTGATTTTTCAAACCCACAGAATATTGTGTACTATGACTATCTGAAATCCGAAACCAGATTCTGAAAGAATAGACAGTCTACTTTCATCAGCAAAAACAATTTTGTTTCTAGCTTGTAATCCCCAGTTGAGTAGAGGGAAGTTTTACTGAAATCACCAAAAAGCTGAGAAAAAAGAGGCACAACAAGTGCATCTAGCTGTTTTCAAACCATTCAGAGAGCGCTGCTGCCACCTGCTGGCTCGATTCAATATGCTCTCAAGTTTATCCCCATACATATTAGATATAATTAGACATCTGGGAACATGAAAATAGCGGAAAACGCAATTGACGTAATAGTGCGTCAATGGCAGGGAACGGGCCTTGTAAAATTCATTCGCGGGCCGGATTTGGCCCGCGGGCCTTGACTTTGACACATGTGAGATAAAGCATCAGTATCAAACGACCACCTCCTTTGTACATTTGAATAATTAACAAGTAGAACATGTTAACTTCCCCTTATCCCCATCTGGACCATTGCTCTCTCTGGTCTCCCTCACGTCTCACTGGTTCCGTCTTCTCCTGGTCTCCCACACGTCTCACTGGTTCTGTCTTTTCCTGGTCTCCCACACGTCTCACTGGTGCTGTTTCCTTCTGTTCTCTCTGGTCTCCCACACGTCTCACTGGTCCCGTTTTCTCCTGGTCTCCCACACGTCTCACTGGTTCTGTCTTCTCCTGGTCTCCCACACGTCTCACTGGTCCCGTTTTCTCCTGGTCCCCCACACGTCTCACTGGTTCTGTCTTCTCCTGGTCTCCCACACACGTCTCACTGGTGCTATCTCCTTCTGTTCTCTCTGGTCTCCCACACGTCTCACTGGTCCCGTCTTCTCCTGGTCTCCCACACGTCTCACTGGTTCTGTCTTCTCCTGGTCTCCCACACGTCTCACTGGTTCTGTCTTCTCCTGGTCTCCCACACACGTCTCACTGGTGCTGCCTTCTCCTGGTCTCCCACACACGTCTCACTGGTGCAGCCTTCTCCTAGTCTCCCACATGTCTCACTGGCCCCGTCTTCTCCTGGTCCTGTCTTCTCCTGGTCTCCCACACGTCTAACTGGTGCTATCTCCTTCTGTTCTCTCTGGTCTCCCACATGTCTCACTGGTCCCGTCTTCTCCTGGTCTCCCACACACGTCTCACTGGTGCAGCCTTCTCCTGGTCTCCCACACACGTCTCACTGGTGCAGCCTTCTCCTGGTCTCCCACACTCATCTCACTGGTTCTGTCTTCTCCTGGTCTCCCACACACGTCTCACTGGTACTGTCTTCTCCTGGTCTCCCACACACGTCTCACTGGTACTGTCTTCTCCTGGTCTCCCACACACGTCTCACTGGTACTGTCTTCTCCTGGTCTCCCACACACGTCTCACTGGTACTGTCTTCTCCTGGTCTCCCACACACGTCTCACTAGTTCTGTCTTTTCCTGGTCTCCCACACACGTCTCACTAGTTCTGTCTTTTCCTGGTCTCCCACACACGTCTCACTGGTGCTGCCTTCTCCTGGTCTCCCACACGTCTCACTGGTGCCTTCTTCTTCTGCTCCTCCACAGGTGTAAGTGTAACCTCCATGCCTCACAGTGCCTCCTGGTGGATGGGAACCTTCAGTGTCAGTGCGAACACAACACCACAGGCCAGGACTGTCAGCGCTGTAAGAAGGGATTCAAGGCCAAGTCCTGGAAAGCCGGCTCCTTCCTGCCGACTCCAAACGGAACTCCAAACACATGTATGTATGCGCCACATGGTCTCTGTGTGCAATCTTAAAAATCTTGTTTAACCCTCCAGGCTTCACGGTTGACTCCCATCTAGCATTGAGATCATTTATTGTAATTTACGGTACTACGGTAGCTTCGCAGAACAATATGTTGTCTTTGACTACTGCTCAAACTCCTTTTTGTCCCTTATCAACCACTGTATTTCAAGATGGCGCATTGACATGTAGAGTCCTCCACGTCTCATAAGTCAAATTCTAAGCCTATGACAACAATTCAAAAACAAGGAGGAGGTTAATGTTTTTTAAAAAGGTCACATTTGTAATTGGTTAACATGTTATTTCATTTGGAGCAACTGTAGAAATTACACAGAGCACCTTTCGGTTGACAATAAGCAATCAAATTCATTCAAACTCCCTCCCACACAATGATGTTCTAGTGATTTGTACGTCTGTCAGTAAAGAAAATTCTGAAAATCCACAATTGCCACCACTGTAAGAAGTCATAATGTGCAAATTAGATCCATCCATCCATTTTCTTCCGCTTCATCCGTTGCCGGGTCGTGGGGCAAATACAATACACAATACAATTTATTCTTGTATAGCCCTAGGTCACAACAGAAGTCATCTCAGAGGACTTAACAAAACCATTGAAATCACCAAGACAGGTCAGAGAATCAACAGTTAAAACACATGAAGAATATAAAGCACACACAGAAGAAAATGTCCATACATGTTGTAGAATGCTAAAGTGTCCTGATCATCACCAATCCTTTCTGTTGGACACTAACTGTCCAACAAGACCCTCCTGCATCGACAAGGAAAAACTCTTAAAAAACCCAGTGGGAAAAAGTGAGAAACCTTGGGGTGAACTAGGGAAACCCACAGGGAGGGAGACCCATTTGAGAAAGGGATCCGCTCCTCCGGACGGACAGGCTAATGATCTAGGACCTAAGCTAGCTACAGGACGTGGACCAGTGGCCGCTGAACGTGGACAGGTCCGGTGCAGGACTGAAGCACTCCCAGGCGGGTCGGGCGGGGCAGTCCGCAGGTGTAGATGCAAATTAGATGGGTACATTTAATTCCTACATAAACGTTGGGCCATCCTTATAATTTTTCTAATGTACATAAAGCATCTAAGTTAAGATTTCAAAATGTAGGAAAAACCCTAAAGGGTTAAAGGTCCCATATTCGCTCTTTGTCTTTTCTCTGGTTTAACCATTATTACAGTTATTTGACCCAGAGTCGTTTTTTCATTGATTCCTTCAAGCTTTAGTTAGAGAACGATCTTGGCTCAAAAACTTCCTGGTTCAGTTGCACTCGTAGCTTGAGCTCCAGATGCCCCGCCTCCAGGAGGTGATTGTAGTAGTAGTCTTTATTTTGAATTATTAATTGTGCAGAACAATAAAATAGAAGAACACACCTGAAAAATGTGCTGAATGTAAAACATGAAATATTATTTTCCAAGAGCAATTTGAAAAGTATTTGAAAGTGAACGCTTTACAAATAAAGTGTCACCCTTTCTTGAACTCCCTGACCTTATTGAATTCTTTCAAATGTACTGCATGAAATTAAAATGGGAGATGTGGTAGCAAGCAAATGTAGTGGTAGAATGACTTGTTTATTTCAGTCGATAACATCAACAGCATTCATAAACTTTTGTTTATGGTAAAACATAGTTCTGACGGAAAAGGTTTAGGCCAAAATGTTTTCACTTAATTTGGCCTGAACTTTAAATTGTGTTATAAAGTGTTATGTACGCTTAAATTTACTCAAAGTGCACTTGGGTGGACTAGACCAAAGAGTTTTTTGTTTTGGTTTGTTTGGTGAAGTCTGTTTCTCTGATATGTAATTGTGCATAAATAATGTATGTTTTAGAGATAAGTGTGGTTAATACTAAAAGGGGAGAGTTTCGTGTTAAATCTCACTTACAAAATGAAGATGTCGAGCCACACTGTAAAACAAGCTCCTCCATTAGTTCCACTCAGTGCTTCATGGTTCCACATGGTTTAAGGAGTCAAAGTGAATCCGATTATCGAGGCAATGAGATTCTAATCAAAGAGGTTTTTGTTCCACCTCTGTAACAACTTATGGTGATCACTGCTCATCCACAGCCTCCATGTGAAGTAACTATGCACTGAAGGGGTAAGCGATTAGTTTATTAGTGTGAGCAGGTTTTACTTCTGTCTTTTGAACTGCGCTTGAACAAACATCACGTTTTACTTTTGAATGCTGGAAACAGGAGCTGAACTGTTTTTTTTTGCAATTACTATAAATAATTTGATAATGTACTCATTTTTTTTTTGTTGCTCTTTAACCGTTTTCATGTTATCCAATGCTTCAGTCTAAATAAAGATGTCATTTGCATAGGTTAAATCTGTCACTGCAGCAGCTGTGCGATCTGCTTTTACAATCTAATTTAGCGTATTTACAAATGCAAAAACTACTTCTACAAGGGTGAGAGGATAGAGAGGGCCCTGTGCCAAGTGCCATCGCGTTAAAAGCTGTTCACAACAAGTGGTTCTTTGCTCCATCTCATTAGCCGCAATTAGCTCCCATATAATAAAGAACGTTCCCATGTTTAGTTGCTAATTATGTTGATGGTCTTTCCGGAAATCCGCAAATCCGCAAATGTGTTTTTCTTCTATGGCACGGTCAGTACATGGTTGTCAGTCGCCAGCATCGGTAATAGCACTGCAGGTCTGTAGGGATAATAACAATTAAAAAAACGGCTTTGAGAGTTCAATCATTCAATCAGCTTTTATTTGTAGAGTGCTTTTCCTACACAAACGCACAACCCTTGTCACATCATGCATAAATCATACATTTTAAATCCCACAGGGCATTAAAACACACAAAAAGATCACAAGAAATAATGATAACATTAAAATCACTCGAGATTAAAATCATGAAACTGAAAAAGTACATGCTCAAATTCTGCATTGACCAAAACATAAAGATTAAGGTTAAGAGATCCTTAATTCGTCCCACAGTGGGGAAATTTCAGTGCTGCAACGCAAGCTACGCAACAGTAGGAATGAGGAGCACACCAGAATATCAGGATACAATAACTGAAAAACGTTCCTATGTTTAGCTGCTAATTATGTGTTTTCCTACTATCGCTCGGCCAGTACATAGTTGTCAGTCTGCAGCTTCAGACCAGCATCGGTAATAGCACTAGGGCGGTGTAGTAAAAAAAAAACTGCTTAGCGGGTTGTCACAGGCTCAAAGCACAAATCTCGAACATTTCAGATGTGTTGGGTGTGTGTGGGGAAATCCTCTCTGCGAGCATAGTCAGCTACTGTAGCTAGCTCTGATAAAATAATAATCTAGGGCAGCCCCTCCCCTCTCTCACTCCTCTCTGTCGTCAAAAAAAAAAAGAAAAAAAAGTCCACCTCGCCTGCATCAACAAGAAAGCTTCCACGGTCATTAGCGATAGTTTCTAAAGGTAGTTGCAGATTCTCTCACACTTCAAAAATATCTACTTGTTACGGGACTAAAGCACGATCCGAGGAAAATGTGATGCCTCGCCTGCTTTTTTCAGCATCTGCTTCAAAGTCAAGCCCCATAAATATGTTATAGAAAAACTAACGTGCGATGACCACCTTTTAATGCTTAAATGTCAAATCTAGGGGAGGGGTCCTATTACTCCTGTTTTAAAGGTTATTCACAAACCCCTCTTTATTCCGATCCAACATTTACCAAGCTGGCCCTGCCTCCCGAATCTAACAAATGATCTCAAGCCAAGTCTTTCGGCAAAATGAATGCATAAATACACTGTCTAATTTTTGCGGTTTTTTTGTCTGTTTTTTTTTTTTGTAGGTGCAATTGCGGGGTCCCCCTCCGGTTCAAGTAAGTACAAACGCAACCGACTCATCTCTCCGGTTCTTTGCTTGATATCTCTTCCTCACATTTAACTTCCTCCATTGTATTTGTCGATTCCATTTTTTCCTTTTTTTTCTTCTTTCCCTTGCCGCTGCTCTGGCGTGTTTCATTATTAATTGGCCTTACTGCTGTTGTACCCGTTCGCCACATCGCACCGTACCTTTGCGCAGGAGGAAATTTCACCACAGTTGTTCCTATTTAGAGAAAAAACATGGGAAAATGAATGGACAGTCGGTGTGTGGAGTGGACGAGGCGTTTCAGCAACACAAAGCAGGATGTGTTAGCGCGTTGTAATGTAGTGTGATTCCGGATGAGGAGCAGAGGGAGGCTTGGAATAAAAGAGAATTTGATTAGGGGATTCTCTCGGTGGAGACTCTCCCGGGCGTGTATCTGTTAGACAGAAACGATCGGCAAAGTGGCAACATCAAGCCTGACAGCTCTGGGCTCTTCTCCACATGGTCCAGCAGTAAAAGGCTGATGCTTGGCTAGACTCAACAATTGGGGCCGCAGTGCACAAGCCGGCGTTTCAAATTAAAGCCAGTGGTGGGAGTTTAAACAGCCCTCTTGTTAAAAAGGCAATCACAGACATAGCTACTAAGGCGTTGTATTGCATTGATGTGTTGGTTATGTACAGAGGTCCCTCGCTATAGTGCACCTTTGGTTACAGCCTTGAATTTTGTTTTTCTGTGTATACTCCAACAACGTCATAACACCGCGAGTATAACAGGGCGGTGGTCTGTATTTACAATTAGAAGAAAAGTTTTGTGGCTTGTGTGCACCCCGGTCTTTTGTTCCCAAAAAACAGTGTAAAAACTTTGTAAAGACTGTTGTGATTTAAACAAATTGTTTTTTTGATTAACTATCTTATTAAGGGAAAGCCTCTAGAGAAGTGGTATCTCATTTTCGAGAGGGTGCCATACCATAAAACAAACACAATATATTTAATACCATATAAATAATTAACATTTACACATTTAACACACACAGGACAAATTTTCTCCCTCAGATCCCTCTCCATCCCCTACAATAATACTTTCATTCAGAAAACATATACATCATTCCAGTCCATACAGACAGCAGCAGGTAGAATAATGCATTTAACACCATACACACACACACACACACACACACACACACACACACACACACACACACACACAGGCTCGAGAAACACTCTCTGACCCAACACCCCGCCTCCCTCACCACTTGCTCTATGATGCATCCCTCTTTAGAGATTCTTTGTTATCCCGTTTCCTCTTAACCCCAAGTTTTTTTTTGTTGCCTAAATTGTGTTGAATGTCGTGTGTATGAATCTGGATCAATAAAAACCAAACAACTTTATAAAGACTGGATGTGGTGTGTCTGAATCTCACTTGATATTTCAGCAGTCCAATTATCATTATCACCATGCATTATGTGGTCCCAGTCTGGATGCCAACTTGCTTCTGACGAGTGGGTTGAACTCCTACTCGTGGTGTGCATGTTAATTTTTACCTTTATCTCATTGGCGGTGCGCAGTAGTCCAAGAAGAAATAGAGATTTTTTTTTTGGTCAATAACAGTAGTTCTTCTGACTAATCCAAATGAGAGTCAGTAAGTGTATAATACATTACTGAATATAGGGTTGAACTCAGGGCGTGAAGGTTGGCACAGCGGTTAGAGAAGGCCCTGGGTTCGATTCCACCTCCAGGTCTTTCTGTGTGGAGTTTGCATGTTCTCCCTGTGTCTGAGTAGGTTTCCTCCAGGTGCTCCAGTTTCCCCTTCCACTAAAAACATGTACAATAGGTCTGAATGTAATGAGTGAGTGCATGGAAAAATATCTGAACTCTCAACAATTGTAAAGCATCTTTGGGTGACCTTGGTCTGTAAATTACGCCACATAAATAAATATCACTTACTTACCTTAATTTTTTACCCTCTTATTGGCTGGTTCTCACAGTCCTCTTTCAGAGCTGCCTCTCTATGGTCTTTCTCTGGTTTCTCTCGCTGGTCTCTCTCTGGTCTCTCTCTCTGGTGTCTCTGGTCTCTCTCTCTGGTGTCTCTGGTCTCTCTCTCTGGTGTCTCTCTCTTGTCTCTCTTTGGTCTCACTCTGGTCTTTCTTTGGTCTCTCTCTCTAGTCTCTCTCTGGTCTCTCTCTGGTCTCTCTCTGGTCTCTCTCTCTGGCCTCTCTCTGGTCTCTCTCTTCTCTCTCTCTGGTCTCTCTCTCATCGCTCTCTCTCTGGCCTCTCTCTAGTCTCGCTCTTCATAAAATCCTCTACATTAATACAGATTACTTTCTTACTTACTTCCCCTAAATCTTTACCCTCTCTCTCATGGGCCCGGGCACAGTAGTCGAAGATGAAACCGTGAGCGGAATCCGAGATGAAAACCCGCACGGTAGACTTGATCACGCTGAGCCTGACACTCAAGGTCAGCGAAGGACCCCTGGAGCCCCTCGGGAAGGTACACTAAAGTAGCGTAGGCAGTAGAACAGATGTAGTCGTAGTGAATAAAGTAGACATATGACAAGGCAGAAGTGACTGTACCCATAGATGTTCCAAGCGAGCCACTGTGTACACACATCCATAATTCATGTGCCGTCCTGGACAGCGTCGGTCCGTGGGCATCGGTTGTTGGGGTGTCAGAGATGGGTCGCCTTCAGAGATATATAGGTGTCAAATATAGACATTCAGACTTAATTTGTTCTGACTGACTGATCTTACTGTATAAAGTGCTGTGTGCGAACCTTGCCTGGCCTCATGCTAAATTTAAACCTGCTGCCGTCTTGGTCAGGGGGAGCGGAAGTTAGCATAAAAGCACTTAAGTAGCCAAGGCATGTACGGAGTTTAAGGCTTTGCAATGTTTGTCGCTTTCTCCCCTTTTGGCGAAGAAAAAAAAGAAGAAAAAAGAAAAGGAAATCCATTAAGAATGTTTGTTAAACAGCTCAGCACTTTTGTTGTTTGGCTGACATCGGTAAAGGACCTCAAAGAATTCACTGATTAGAATCAGAATCAGAATCAGAATCAGAATCAGAATCATTTTTATTGCCAACGTAAGTAACGGGAGGTCACAGACTTGGAAATTGCTTTGGCTCAGTGCAACAGTCAAAAAGAGATAATAAAAATAAGAATAAAAAACACTTCTAAAGAATAAATTTAAATTTAAAATAGAGTTACAGTTACTATTTACAATATACATATACATATACATATACAATATATTAGCCGTGATTTACAGAGAGCTGACAGAAGCGTTAACGTGCATAAACAAGGCCACAGTCGCTCAGTCTATAACGGGAGCGACGGGAAGAAGGCGATCTTTATGTTCTGTGGCTTCAACGAAAATAAAACATTTAAAGGGGACGGTATGTGTGTGTATGTTGCGCTGTTGAATCGACTGCAGGAGCTCGTGTGGTGAAAGGGTGATTTTGTGAGGCCTCTAAACATGGCAGGGGAAGGCAAGTTTTTTGTGTTTTAGTACAGCTACATGTGGTCACTGTCACAGGGCTTTCTTTTTCAGGCAAAGCTCAATGCCACAACAAAGAGGTCCTTCTTCTGAGTGATTTATTACCTTCGTAGTCAGAAGCTAAATCTGATAGATAACTATAATAATGTATTTTACTGTATAAATCCTGTATAAATCCTGTATCATCCGTGTAGCAGAGAGCATTGTGCTCCGTGGGGCCTCAGGTGGGTTTGGACCTGACCCCCCACTGAACTGTGAGTGCGTTTCATGTCTGGCATATGGTGCATTTCAGGAGCACCAATAAATCATCTCTATTCATGTCTTTTTTTCCTCCCGGGGATGTGAGGTCTTAAGTCCTGCTCTCCCCCGTTTGCACAACCACTAGTTACAATTAAATAGAAACGTGTGGTGAAATAGAGCGGCGTTTGGACAGGGGTCACTGCAGCGATAGTCACCTACAAGTGTCCACTGCTGTCAGATACCAGAGGACAGGAGCAGAGAGAGAGAGTGTGACTTTGGTGAACATTTTAGCCTCTTTACTCAACTGTAGTTTTGTGTTTCCTCACTGAGCATGCTCGGAGGGGGGATTACAGTCGTGTATTGGCAGCGGAGAGTCTGATCCACAGAACCTGATGTCACCTCTCTCCCCGGCCACGCTGATCCCATGTGACCCGCCGCTCGCTGCGTTATCCACTACAGCAGGGATCTCCAACCTTTTTCAACAGAAGAGGCGGAGAGCTACTTCTTTTTTGTTGTCTTAATAAAAATCTATGTAAGAATTATGACAAGAGCGAAAAAACATGGAGAACACATGTAAATATGCTATATAATATTGTATAACCTTTTTTTTCTGCTTATAATAGACTCAAAATATATACATTCAGGATCATGTGTTCAATTTGAAATCCTTTGGGGAGCTACCTGAAAGGAGCTATAGGTTGGAACCCCCTGCACTACAGTGTCATCAACAAAACTTCACCGCTGTAACATTAGTCTCACTTATTTTGCTTTTGAATGTCTGCTTTTCCATCAGGATTAGTCTTGGCTTCAGGCTGACACATTTGTTCATGTCTGCAGAAGCTCAGGACACATTAATATCATTTCTGCAGCCGCCGTCCCCAGCACCGTTAGGTTTCCAGGCAAATGTTAAACGCCTCTGAATTACAATGCCTTCATTAGTTCGACTATGTCCAATCTCTGTCACTTTACACATACATTATGATAAGGCAAAGACTGACAGGACAGCATTAAAATATGATTAGCATTCTACATTCTAGTCTGCATTAAGCTCACAGACAAATGATATCATGCCATTCCCTAACAGAAACTAAATTCTCGTATGTGTGTCAGAGCGCACGTTGCCCATGATGTGAGAGTTATGGCACAGTCCATCTGCACGGACAAATCCAGAGGTATTATGCAACACATAAGCTCCTGCTGTAGTGCAGGGTGTGAAAGCATGATGGCGCTGCTGCCACCAAGACATTAATCATTGATGATGTTACTTTGCAGAGCACACACTTTGAGCAGCAGCTGGACAACTCACTGGAGGTTTTTATTTTATTGTCATAGTTTTTAGGATGTTTGTTTTAGGTTTAATCCCACTGAGCCAAAAACGTCCATTATAGAGTGATTCTGGGGTCATTGCTGAACAGTGCTGTTTTGACTCTTTCTCTTATGTGTTCATCCTCCTGTGGACTCACCACCTGCAGAGGGTCAGTGAGGGGCTGGTGCTATGAGACTTGGGTGGCATCTCTGATTGCCACCCCCCTGACCCAGAAATGGATTAAAGGGTAGAAAATGGATGGATGGATGGATCTTATGTGTTCAGGACAACACAGCCTTTCAACACGGGTCAACAACAAGAGGTTAGATTCATGTGAATAAATCGGAAGTATTAGGTAGAGCAGCGGTCACAGTAAGAAGGGTTCAAATCCACCTCCAGACGACGTTTGCATGTGCTCCCTGTGTCTGCGTAGTTGTCCTCCGGGTGCTCCAGTTTTTCCTACCACAAAAAACAAGTTCAGGGTGAAGGAGTGTGCGTTTGTGAAGAATGTGTGTTTGTGAAGGAGTGTGTGTTTGTGAAGAGTGTGTGTTTGCGAAGAGTGTTTGTTTGTGAAGAGTGTGTGTTTGTGAAGAGTGTGTGTTTGTGAAAGAATGTGTGTTTGTGAGTGCGGCTGTGGGACAACGAGCCCGAGGTTACATTCCTCTGCTTTTCATTAATGCACACTGTACTGCCCAAATAAACAAAAAAAGTAAAGACTCCTCCTCTTCGCATGGTGTTATATTGAGCCAATAAATATAATGACCTCAAACAGATGCATTTTAAACTTCCATCCATCCATCCATTTTCTACCCTTTAATCCATTTCTGGGTCAGGGGGGTGGCAATCAGAGATGCCACCCAAGTCTCATAGCACCAGCCCCTCACTGATCCTCTGCAGGTGGTGAGTCCACAGGAGGATGGCTGCTCTCTGAGTGTGAGCATAACCTTGATCTTTCAGCGGGGGCTTTGGGCAAAGTGGGGTTAAGTGTCTTGCCCAAGGACACAACGACAGCAGTCATCAGTGGGAGTCGGTGGAGAAGGTGTCGAGGTGGGAATTGAACCCACGACCTTCAGGCCTGAAGGCCAATGCTCTACCAACTGAGCTACTGTCCGTTAAACTTGCCCGTTGCATTTCACCAAAACCAACAATTGTCCCACATTTTACAGACATAGGGCTTTCAAAACATTGCCCGCACTGAGAGGGTTGTAAAACAGATTTTGTGTTTAGCCCATCTCAGCAGTGTGAAGTCACACTCTCTTTGTGTGTTTCACTGGTGCGTGTGCACACAGACTGGCTGTGTCTATTTCATATGCACATTTGGATAGAAAAACAAGAGCTTTTGGATAAACAATCTGAGGCTGCATTTCTAATGCTAATGCATTAGCTTGCTCATTGCATTTGTAATCTCTGTCCTCGTGTAACTGATGATAGGCTCCAGTGAGAATTACAATCAGCACAGTCCATTTATATGGGCCACAGGCTGAGGCTGCACCCAGGGGAGAGTGTGTGTCACTTCCTGGTTCAGCAGAGGCTCTTCTTCCTCCACATAACTCTCCTTCAGCAGCTCTCACATCAGTCTCACAAAGACACAAGCCTAACATCATTTGGTCAAAGAGCATCACCCCCGACACAATCAGCTCAGAGCCGCACCCCGGAGCCGCACCACAGAGCCGCACCACAGAGCCACACCCCAGAGCCGCACCACAGAGCCGCACCACTGAGCCGCACCACAGAGCCGCACCACTGAGCCGCACCACAGAGCCGCACCACAGAGCCGCACCCCAGAGCCGCACCACAGAGCCGCACCACTGAGCCGCACCACAGAGCCGCACCACAGAGCCGCACCCCAGAGCCGCACCCCAGAGCCGCACCACAGAGCCGCTGTATAAAATGTTAAAGCAGGGCAGAGGGGGCAGAGGTAAGCCCCACTCACAGCATTACGCACTAATTAAATTTACAATAAGAGCTCTATTTCCATCAGTGCATGGAACTGCAGTGTTAGATTATCTTCAGAAGGTGAACGTCATTGATGTGCCCTTACACATTTAATGCGACTGAGCATCAAATTGCATGTAAGAGATGCTTATTAAATTTGGCTCGTGGCACTGAGATGGAGTTAATGCAGGAGGCAGACTGCGGCGAGAGCGAAAAGTGAAGGGAGAGGGGCATCGGCAGTTTGTGAAAATAGTTGACAGGGATTTTGCATCATTCAGACACTGGATTGTGAAGAGACCCATGCAACTGAATTACATTATTCACCTTAACTTAGCTCAATTGGGAGTTAGTACTGTAAATGAAATGAAACAAGACTACACAGCTGTTCTCTGGCCAGATGTGTCATTCCATCCTCATCTCTTGTTCAAGAATCGGATTCAAAAGGTTAATTTCAACTGTATTGTCTTATTGGGAGATTCAAAGAGCTGTCACTATCAGCAAAGCCAGCCATCTTCAGGGGACAACAAAAATCCAAATAAACTCATTATCCCGATGAAAACATGTGAAAGGACTTTGTTCGAATGAGAAAACACTATACAGCGGCACCAAACAACAAATGGAAAAAAAAACAGCTTTCCCTTTCTCAAAACCCCATCACAACATTTGGATAGATCACAAACAGCACTGTAAACCCTGACAAGTAAAGTTTACTTGAAAAAACCATGGAAATAAATTGCGTATTAACTTCACTTGAATTACTCGAGTACATCCTTTACTTGATATTACCAAGTAACTCAAGTGATTGCAATAAAGTTTAAATTTCTTCTTATGCTCCGACCGGGATTTGTACTCAGAACCCTGTAGTTGAGAGGAAATGGTGCTACCCACTCAGCCACCAGGACACCCTGCTATTGTCACACCTGCCTCATTAAAGAGTCTACACATCAAAATGTCAAAAGTGAGGCTTACTTGAACAGAAACGGTTCAATTCAAAGAAAACCCTGAGTGATATCGCCAAGCTTTAAATAAACTAACAATAAATGAGTAATATTTACTTACTGGGAAAAATCTATTTAAAATAACTTTGATATCTGGAGTACGATTGAAGTTAGGGTTTACAGTGAGGAGGAAGGAGGATGTGTCAAAGGGAACTATCAAGAGAAGTCTTCACCAGAGACGCAAGACATTTTACCACAAGATTTAACCTACCACTGAATGGCAAAGACCTGATTAGGATGGTCAAACAAGCTCTGGATAAGTCCACAGATCTGATTGTTAAAAATGCTGTACCCAATTAATTTTCTAATAAGTTCATAAAAAGGCTTATTACTACATACAAGTTGTATTATAATCCGTAATTCAATTGAAAACTTGCGCTCATTGATTCAGCTTATGTATGAATTCAGGCCGTAAAAAGTGCTGAGTAGAGACTTAAAGCTGCACTAACTGACTTTGGGATTTTGAAGCCGCGGACTCGCTGGCCTCTCTCTTTCTGCTCCCCTCCCCGCACCCACGAAGCTATCGCCCCCCACACACACCCACTGTTGGGACGGGGCTAGTGTCTCCCAATATGGATAATACATGGACATGGATTTGCACGTGGATGGCGTGACCATAGAACGATAGAACCGGGAAGCGCGGAGGAACGAGACTTTCTTTTGGATGGCTGTTTCGCTAAGTAAGCAGTAACCGGTGATGAAGACACGAAGCTTCAGGTTAGCTCCTCGGCTTGTTGTGCTAACTCAGCCGTCTATGCTAACGGACCTGTAGATTTCTCACGAAAGTGGGGGCCAGTGGTCCGTTGTGATTGGTCACAATCTGTGACCCGAAACACATTCTCTTCCTTGTTTCATCAAAACTCGATCTAAAATATAATGTCACGCCAGCACAAATCTGCGCTAATTATTCTTCAAAAGGACGTATATCCCAATGCACTACATGGACATGGATAGCACTTTTGTAATGAATACGAAAATAAAGTCAGTTAGTGCAGCTTTAAAGTGACGCCCGCTCTCCTCCAATCACAGAACGAGGCTGCGTCCTCTAGCCTCTACAGCGCTGCTAAACACAGTAGCATGTTAGCATAAGTGGCTATAACTCCTACATAGCAAAACAGCCCAAACCACACAGCAGTGAGGAAGTGAAGAAAAAAAAAACTAAAGCGAAAAAATTATCAAAGAAGAAATCAAGCCCAGGTGAACATAGCTAGCTTACAATGTATCCTCTGGAGAGACTTGTCTATGGGAGAGACCTGCGGGACCGCCTCGGACTATCTATGCTCGGACTATCAATGCTCGGACTATCAATGCTCGGACTATCAATGCTCGGACTATCAATGCTCGGACTATCATGCTCGGACTATCAATGCTCGGACTATCAATGCTCGGACTATCATGCTCGGACTATCAATGCTCGGACTATCAATGCTCGGACTATCATGCTCGGACTATCAATGCTCGGACTATCAATGCTCGGACCACATTCGGATGTGAAACTAGCGCTAATCTTTCAGTTATATTGTATTAGCAGTGCGTTGCTTTTGTTCCATTTCATCAGTGATTGTTGTACAGCTTAAGTTGCGCTAATGCTAATGTTAGCATCAAATCGCAAATGCAACTAGATGGCTACATGGAATGAGAGCAGGGGAAATGAGAAGTCTGTGAGCGAGTTGAGGGGTGGTGCTAAACATTCAGCATTCTTGCAGAAACGGGTATAGCTCCTTTAAACTACTATTATGTCAGTTCTGAAAGATGCCCTGGCAGATGAGACAATGGCCGATCAATCATTTAATTGTATAGTTTGTACATACAATTTGTGTACAAGGCAATTCAAAGTGCTTCCCAAGAGCAATTAAAAACACGGATCAAAATGCGTAAAATAGACCCAAAAGGAAATACAGATCAATATACAACAATTTCATATTAAAACAGAGTAGCATAAAACTGTGGCGGGTTAAGTGTTAAAATGTGGGTTTATAAACAGATACATTTTACAAACTAGTATCAGTCGTATGCACAGCTAAACCCAGCTGGTTTTGAACATGGTCAGGGTAGAGACCTGCCTCACAATTTCAGGAAGACTGTTCTATATTTTATAGATTGGAGGCTGCATTTATTTGAAACGCTGTGTCCGCATATAGTAGTATAGTCCTGACTCTGGGTACCAGCAGGAGGCCAGTCCCTGTGCTCCTCAGAGTCCAAGTTCAGAATGATTTATTTGTCTTTTGTTGTTTGATAGTTGGCGGCACAATGGATAGCACTCTCGCTTCTCAGCAAGAAGGTCGGAACAGGGCCTTTCTGAGTGGAGTTTGCATGTTCTCCCCGTGTCTGCGTAAGTTTCCTCTGGGTACTCCGGTGCGCTATATAAATAATGATTACTTTACTTTACTTACTTCATATGTCAAGAACATGTCACAGATGTACCATGGAGAGACTTGTACACAACCAGAGCTGCTTTAAAGTCTATTCAGAAAGCCAGCACAGAGACCTGAGAACTGGACTAATGCGATTGTACTTCCTGGTTCCAGTCAGAACTTGAGCTGCTGCGTTTTGTTTGTCTGCCCAAATACATAAAACTCATTGGATAGCATTCACAGATAGACAATACCCCAAAGCATGCTGCAAAAGAAGTTAACATCCTCAATGTGTTAATCAGTTAGACAAATAAGGAGAGCGTTCTGCGAAGTTAATCATCTGACCTGAGTCCGATCGAGCAGCATTTCCCTTTCTGAAGACAAAGTGAAGAAGCTGGAACTGAACATCATTGCAGTGGAGGCTTTGGCAGAGCATCCCCAAGGAGGAAACTCAGCCTCAGACTAGAGACTGACAGACTTTAGACTATATGATTGACTGCAAAGAATGTACAACAAAGTAAGAACATTTAAAGACTGATTTTAAAGCATTATAGACGCTTCTAAAAGTCTCGCTTACAAACTTCTGTCGTTCCTATACTGTTAACTTAAAGGTGTATCATGACCTCCCTTCATCCAATACTGACCAATTCATTGACAATCTTGATTATCTCTCCAAGTTATTTAAGCCAATCACCGTGACAGAATAGATTCAGATTGAGATGTATTTTATTTGCCATTGGCAGTAAAAGCACTTTGAAATGCATTTGCAAAAGGCCTCTGCGTGCATAAGAAACGTACAAAAAATGAAACTAAAGTAAATTAAAGTTAAGTTGTTCATCAAAATGAGTCTCTCTTCTTCCCGGTGCTGGTATTTTGAGATTTTAATTAATCCATCCATCCGTTTTCTTCCGCTTTATCCGTTGTCGGGCAGCAGTTTGAGCAGAGAGGCGCAGGCGTCTCTCTCCACACACTTTCTCCGGCTCATTTGGTGGAATCCTGAGGCGTTCCCAGGCCGAGCGGAGAGACACAGTCAAGTTCAACTGGCTCCTCTTGGCATGGACAAGCAGCGGCTCTACTCCAAGCTCCTCACCCTATCTTTATGGGAGCGCCCAACCACTCTGCAGAGAAAAGTCATTGTACTTTTATCTGCGGTCTCTCCCTCTGATGATAGATCGTTACCCAAAGCCCATGGTGAGGGTGGGAACGTAGTCTGATCGGTGATTGGATAGCCCAGCCTTTTGACTCAATTATTTTTTTAATTTGGCACGGGCGTTTGTTACCCAGATTTGGATGTATGTAGCTCTCAAACCACAGTGGGGGTGTATTATGGTCAAAATGATTAGAATAGAGAGAGGAGATATATTTATTGATCTCACAAAGGAGAAATTCGGTTCAATGAACACACATACACATCAAGGCACACAGCGTACTATTACTTCCATGCTCCTTTTAGGCAAAGTGGGGGTAAGTGTCTTGCCCAAGGACACAACAACAGTAGACATCAGTGGTGGGGAAGATCTTGTGGTAGGCTCAAACCCACGACCTTCAGGCTCACCGGCCAACTGAGCAACTGTCACTGTCGAATTGCGATGTCGCGGGATTTCTCGTCCTGACTGCAGTGGAGACATTACATTGACACGGACAGTTCGATAGAGAAAGCCATCAAAGTCACGGTTAAATCCTGTTCTAACGCCACGGATGCGAGCAGTTTGGAGAAAAGCTGAGGCACAAACTTAAAACACGTCCAGTAAATGTAGCAGGTTTTAATGAACATATCACTTTTGAAGAGCAGTGAACATGGCCCACCTATAAGTCAGCTTCTCCTGCTCTTGGCACGCTGTCATGTTGCCAGTAGGAGAGCAGATGAAGAGTTCCATCACTGCCACTGTGTGCTAAGCCCGACAGACTTTCGCGCTTCTCTTTCCATCAGTGTGAAGTGAGAAGAAGCGCTGTCTGGTGTCCAACAGTTCAGCCTGATCTGATTGAGATTAATGCCAAGAAAAAAAAAAGAAAAACTGCGATCCGTTTGACCCCCGAGGCTGCATTATTGGAACTAAATACACTTATGATAGCGGCGTCCAGTGGCGAGAATAGCCCTGTCCTGCTCTAGCGTGTGACAGATGTGTGTGAGCCGAGAGCCGTGGTGGGAGGCAGACAGAGGTTACTTTGATGAGATGTAATGATGGCTTAATGCCAGTTTTGTGAAATGGTTCAATGTGCAGTATAGAAACAGCTGCTGGCATCCTGTCTAACTGGAGCCCACGGGGAGGAAGCAAGGGAGAAGGGGGATGTAAGGGGAAGTGCGGAGGCGGAGGCAGCCTGGAGGGAGAGGCTCAGCGGGGGAGCAGGACGCTTGCAGGATGCCCCTCTCTGAAGAAGACTTACACGAGATGGGTGGATCTCCTCGAGGGGGGGCGCGTGCTGGACTGTATTCTCCTGTGGATGGTTCAGTGTTAGTCCCTGAATGACAGGCATTGTGTGGTCGCCACCTGTGATTGGTTAGTTGTATTTTTAGGCATTAGAATTAAAGTCAGGAAGCCGAGGGGTTTGATTTACTGAGACGCTGCGGCTCTAAAACAGGCAAAATTCATATAATTGTACTGGCCCTGCACTCACTGGTGAACTCCATGCAAAGAAATCGCAAAGTACACAGTTGGAAAGTGGAGCAAAAGAAACAGAAAAAACACAATTAAAATGCACTTAAAGTAGAATGAAACTTGAAAAAGGGACTGCAGTGTAGAGAAAGATGGAATATTAAAATGATATTACAGATGAGCGCTAATTATAGATTTTGCAGATGAATATTCATATTTATGTTTAAACATGAGAGCAGAGATGAGTCTTTCTTTTATGACAAGCAGAAAAAGAAACACGCTCTTTTGCAGAGTGTGAACATGCAGCTGCAGAAGTCTCCATGACACTCAGATAAAAGAGGCATCATTTCTTTCAGCCTGAGTAGGAAGATGAAGGCGTCTCTCCAGCCTCTTTTTTCATCAGACACACGACTGTGGCCTTTAATGGGAGAGCCAATTGGGCAGTAAGTGGGAGGTATATTAGAGAGTAAAGAAGTGAGTACTACTTAATTACCTGAAATGTTTTGCAGGTAGACTTCTGCCTTTGTCAGAGTTGTCGACTTTCTAAATGTAATACATCAGGTGTCTCCAACCTTTTTCACCCAGCTACTTTCCCAAGACAATGAAGGCAGAGAGCTACTCCTTTAAGCGGCCCTGAGAAAAATGTGATATATTGGTCTGATCCAGTCTGATATCGGATCCAGTCATTATTTATCATCTCATATTTGTTACTATAGTGCTCAAAGTACGTGCATTTACAATAATAGATAATTATGAATGAATAATACAATCTGAAATATGAAGTATATTTCATATTCATTTCTAAATCCTTTGGCGAGCTACCTGGAAGGGGGTGGCGAGCTACTATCGGCTCCCGTGCTACAGGTTGGAGACCCCTGGAATACATTTTACGCATTTTTATTTTTCCATTATTATTTATTACATGTTACAGTGTCCCAGAGTCACATCCCGTCTGGGCCAGAGGAAGAGACACTGTACCATGGGTCAAAAGGTACAGTCTTTTGGATTAGGTTTAGCCATTATACGTTCATTTTTCAACATAAGCGCTGACATTGACACTGAATTCTCCGGGACATTTCTGTGTGTTAGCTGTCCATAATTCTCACGGAGCCTCTTCTGAGCACATCCAAGGTACAAGTGTGCACCATGTCCCACAGTGTTTCTTTATGATAATTCTGTACTATTAGGATTACATAACCTTGAGGAGAATGGACATAGGACACACAGCTCAAGGGGGGTGCATGATGTCACAATAGGAGGACAAGAAGGCAGGTATCATAATAATCTCTATTGAAACAGTTTGTCATGTGAATGTCAACATTGATATAACTGTGCTGTGGCAGTCTCGCTCGAGTCTGGAGAACAGAGACATGGCACGAATGGACACGGGTCACATCATGAGGAGGAACGACCACACACGTTGGAAGAAGGTATTTAGTTTAGATGTAGAGGTAGAGGTAGGTGTAGTTGTAGATGTAGTTGTAGAAGGAGTTGTAGATGTAGTTGTAGATGTAGTTGTAGTTGTAGTTGTAGTTGTAGTTGTAGTGAGGCTCACCAAAGCAGTTACTCTGGAGCCCTGTACTGGTTTGGATCAGCGTTGTTGCTGGATCCTTACGCTGCTTCTTCTTGTGTAGCTCGGCTCTGAAATGGTTCATTTCAACAGCGTGGGTTTTCAGAGACTGTCTATAAAGTCATGTGGTTGTAACCATAGCTGTGTTGTGCTTAGGCTCGCATCTCAACTGTGTGTTATTGCTGCTTTGTTTGAGTCGCGTTTCAGTCTCCCACATTACTGAGGATAGATAGATAGATAGATATATGCCTAGAATGAGTCTTGTGTGTGTGTGAATGCATCGACTGGCTGCCTTGTTGTTGCTTATAGCTATAGAGAAGAATAATGACATGTGAAGCGTCTTTTAGTGTCAAAAAAAGCGCTATATAAAACAGAGGAATTATTCAAGTGTGACATCATCAGTACATGTCAACAATGGTCTAATTATTTTGTCATAAATGGTGTTTAGATTACTTTGGTAAGTGGTATAAGTGGTGGCTATATTAAAAACATATGCATGATGTTGGCCAGTAGAAAGGAAGGACTTTCGGAAATAGGGAATATAAGGCAGTTTTGTGAATCACTATCAAAAGATATTTGCTTTTTCAACAATTCTTTCAAAATTGCTCTTACTTAACTGAAATGACATTGAATGCAACCTATTGCTAAGATGTCCTTCAAGTGTTGTTGGTGCCATATTATTTTGGGGTATTGTCAGAGTGGTGCAGGGTAGATACTTCACAAACACCACTTTCTCTCTCTCCCCCCCCGCCAAAGTTCAGATAGATGCCCACGGACACACACAAAACGTGAAACATTAGACAAAAACGAACAACAAAGTCAGCAGAACGTAAGAGCCAGGCAAGTCACAAATGGAAAATGTGTTTTCTAAAGTGAATCCTTGAAGAAACAGAAATATGTTTGCTTGCTATGTTAATGAGAACCAATGTTGTGTGTCAGCTCCACACAAGGCTGAGGTGCATGTGCTTCACGGCCACCACACCTCATCTGGACACGGCCATGAGCGACGGGAGCACACAGGCCCTTTAGCCAGCAGTCACGGCAACGGAGGTAACGACATATTGAGCAAGGAAGTACAGTGTAGTGAGCGTTGTATTGGTTGGCTTCTCATGGCTATGGTCCCTTTGCAGTCCTTGTACATGAAAGTAATGGCCATAAAACACCTGTGCATGCAGAAGAGAGGGACGGAACAACAAGTGAAGGTATAGATGGACAGAACATCCAGTGATTTTCTCTCAATGGGGGTAGAATGAGCCAGATTGTAATACATTGTGAATGAATTGTAGGCGATCACAGCCGTCATGTTCACCATACTCATCATACAGAAACAGCTGGACACAGTGAAAACCTTCATACACCAGGTATTTACCATAACAAGATTAGGTATTTACTATGACAAGATCCTGACAAGATTTGGATTCAAGTGCTGTTGTTTTTTCCTTCCTCAAAATCAGTTCAAAACAGAAATGATCAACATGACCACAACCCCCATCATCATATACCAGCCTTAAATGGGCATGGGACAAATCAGCAGAAAGGTATTGTCCCAGTGATCACAGTCCAAGACTCATGATATGACGGGTAGTTTTAATAGCGGTATCATTTGAAACAGTCCATAGTTCACAGCATGAACAGCATCATCTTCATCATGTGATCCCTGAGGCTGAGAAAGAGGAAGAGAGACATCACCCACACGGAGTAGGAGGTATAAGTCTAGTCTAGATCCTGAACACAGGCTTAAGCATTCAAATGAACACATTGTTTTTGTGCAAATAGCGGAACATCATCTCGTTCATGTAAGACACGAGGATACAGGTTCTGAGCGTGGAGCGGAACACGGACACACATCAGCTGAACACAACGGTAGATGTACAATTATTTGAAATATTGACTTATTCAGAAGGAACACCAGTCTTAGAACAAGATCCTGTTTTTGTGATTGTACACAATGTTTAAGGACCCAACGCACTTTTTCACATCATTGCTGTAGCTCTTCGGGATGTCAACAACCCACATCTGCAATTCAGGGGTGTCAAACCAGTCCTTAAAGGGCCGGTGTGGCTGCAGGTCTTAGGTCAACCTGAGTAAGACTCCACCCATTTCCTCGAATCTTCAGGTTAAAACTGGTCTCACCTGAGGAAATGGGTGGAGTCTGGTGTGCTACTTTTTAGGTTGGAACTGCAGCCACACTCACCCTTTGAGGACCGGTTTGACACCCCTGGTCTACATGATGGTCGTCACATCTACACGTAACACACATGAGGAGAGACAGCACCACACTGGTACATCTGCATCACACATAACTACATCATGGACACCACACCCCCTTCACCAAACTCTCCTGAACTAAAGCAGCAACATCAACACAAATTGTTTTTTTTTTTTATTCAGTTTTTCATTATTTTGAAAGAAAATGTAGGTTAAATGTATAATTATTGCTACTTTGAAGCAAAATAAACTGTACTAATTTACCTTTTCTTCAGTTCATGACCATCACAGTCATGAGACACATAGAAAAGAAGCTGAACATGGAGTTCATGATTCACATACAACAGAACACAAAGGTACGCATCTGTATCTCTGTTTTACAGTAGAGATTGTTTACGGTAACTCTGTCATCATCAGATTATTATAGATTTTAGAAGAATTTCGGAGATTATTGTGTTGCTTTTTCATTTCAAACTCACAACACGTCAATATGTGTTTCTCCATTTGACGTTTAGCGATCCATCAGAGAAATGAACACAGTGGTCACGAGACTGGACACGAGAATCACGTTGGACCCGAGACTGGACATCAGTCTCACGGTGGACCCGAGACTGGACACCAGTCTCACGGTGGACCTGAGACTGGACACCAGTCTCACGGTGGACACGAGACTGGACATCAGTCTCACGGTGGACACGAGACTGGACATCAGTCTCACAGTGGACCCAAGACTGGACACCAGTCTCACGGTGGACACGAGACTGGACATCAGTCTCACGGTGGACCCGAGACTGGACCTCAGTCTCACCGGGGACATGAGACTGGACCTCAGTCTCACCGGGGACATGAGACTGGACATCAGTCTCACGGTGGACCCGAGACTGGACATCAGTCTCACGGTGGACACGAGACTGGACATCAGTCTCACGGTGGACACGAGACTGGACATCAGTCTCACGGTGGACACGAGACTGGACATCAGTCTCACGGTGGACCCGAGACTAGACATCAGTCTCACGGTGGACACGAGACTGGACATCAGTCTCACGGTGGACACGAGACTGGACATCAGTCTCACGGTGGACCCGAGACTGGAAATCAGTCTCACGGTGGACCCGAGACTGGACATCAGTCTCACGGTGGACCCGAGACTAGACATCAGTCTCACGGTGGACATGAGACTGGACATCAGTCTCACGGTGGACCCGAGACTGGAAATCAGTCTCACGGTGGACCCGAGACTGGACATGAGACTGGACATCAGTCTCACGGTGGACATGAGACTGGACATCAGTCTCATGGTGGACCCGAGACTGGACATGAGACTGGACATCAGTCTCACGGTGGACATGAGACTGGACATCAGTCTCACGGTGGACCCGAGACTGGACATCAGTCTCACGGTGGACATGAGACTGGACATCAGTCTCACGGTGGACATGAGACTGGACATCAGTCTCACGGTGGACCCGAGACTGGACATCAGTCTCACGGTGGACTCGAGACTGGACACGAGACTGGACATCAGTCCCACGGTGGACACAAGACTGGACATCAGTCTCACGGTGGACATGAGACTGCACATCAGTCTCACGGTGGACATGAGACTGCACATCAGTCTCACGGTGGACCCGAGACTGGACATCAGTCTCACGGTGGACCCGAGACTGGACACGAGGCTGGACATCAGTCCCACGGTGGACATGAGACTGGACATCAGTCTCACGGTGAACCCGAGACTGGACACGGGACTGGACATCAGTCCCACGGTGGACCTGAGGCTGGACACGGGACTGGACATCAATCCCACGGTGGACCCGAGACTGGACACGAGACTGGACATCAGTCCCACGGTGGACATGAGACTGGACATCAGTCTCACGGTGGACCCGAGACTGGACACGGGACTGGACATCAGTCCCACGGTGGACCCGAGACTGGATACGGTACTGGACATCAGTCCCACGGTGGACCAGAGACTGGACACGAGACTGGACATCAGTCCCACGGTGGACACGAGACTAGACATCAGTCTCATAGTGGACCCGAGACTGGACCCGAGACTGGACATCAGTCTCACGGTGGACCCGAGACTGGACCCGAGACTAGACCTCAGTCCCACGGTGGACATGAGACTGGACATCAGTCTCACGGTGAACCCGAGACTGGACACGGGACTGGACATCAGTCCCACGGTGGACCTGAGGCTGGACACGGGACTGGACATCAATCCCACGGTGGACCCGAGACTGGACACGAGACTGGACATCAGTCCCACGGTGGACATGAGACTGGACATCAGTCTCACGGTGGACCCGAGACTGGACACGGGACTGGACATCAGTCCCACGGTGGACCCGAGACTGGATACGGTACTGGACATCAGTCCCACGGTGGACCAGAGACTGGACACGAGACTGGACATCAGTCCCACGGTGGACACGAGACTAGACATCAGTCTCATAGTGGACCCGAGACTGGACCCGAGACTGGACATCAGTCTCACGGTGGACCCGAGACTGGACCCGAGACTAGACCTCAGTCCCACAGTGGACATGAGACTGGACATCAGTCTCACGGTGGACCCGAGACTGCACATCAGTCTCACGGTGGACATGAGACTGGACATCAGTCTCACGGTGGACCCGAGACTGGACATCTGTCTCACGGTGGACACGAGACTGGACATCAGTCTCAAGTTGGACATGAGACTGGACATCAGTCTCACGGTGGACACGAGACTGGACATCAGTCTCAAGGTGGACATGAGACTGGCCATCAGTCTCACGGTGGACACGAGACTGGACATCAGTCTTACGGTGGACATGAGACTGGACATCAGTCTCACGGTGGACACGAGACTGGACATCAGTCTCACGGTGGACCCGAGACTGGACATCAGTCTCACAGTGGACCCAAGACGGGACATCAGTCTCACGGTGGACCCGAGACTGGACACCAGTCTCACACTGGACACCAGTCTCACAGTGGACCCAAGACTGGACATCAGTCTCACGGTGGACCCGAGACTGGACACCAGTCTCACGGTGGACCCGAGACTAGACACCAGTCTCACAGTGGACACCAGTCTCACAGTGGACATACTGCACTCTCAGCAGGTATACTACATTCTAATACTAATAGATACTTTTGTTTTCAAATACAAACATATGAAACACATGTTGTGGTCCGCAGTGCAGACAGTGGGACATCATGGACCCCTCAGTCACACTGCAGCTGCCCCTCTGCACCAGGATCATTTAAGTATCTACACAGTTGTGATTTAGAACGAGCCTTCTGTTGTGTATAACCGTACTTCTCGGGTGTTTGAGAGAACCTATTTATTTTCCAAACCAGCTAAATTTGAAAAGAAAACAAACTTTGTACAGAAATAGACCGCCTCAGGATTTTGTGTTGACGGAACGCCACTTGGTTTTCTTCTATATGTGTGAGTAAAAGTTAGAGGGAGTTCAGTGTTTGTTTGTCACAGTACTACCACGTTTACAGGCGGCCTGCTAAATCAAGACCCCACTCTCCCTGGTTTCCATGGCAACGGAAAATAAAAGATACGGCAAAAAAAGGCTTTGTTGTAAACTGCAGGCTTCTAGCAAAATTATACAAATCCCTTAATAACCCGAGAATTACGGTATTTGTTTAGTTTGAGTGACAAAAACTATGAATAATAAATATTGCTTTAACAACATGGTACACAGACCATCACACAACCTCTCATCATGGACATGGGCAACATGGGCCACACCATCCCACAGGTAACGCCTACATGTAGTGAGTAGAGGGCGTAGATTTAGAATAGACTAGTGTATCTTTAATTAACTTGTAACTACATTTGCTCAGGTGTGCTTTACTTAACATTATAGACATGTTATTCATTTTTTAGCTGTAATACTAGGACTCCCAGAATTCTGAAACTACTAGCCAGAACTCCCAGAGTCGTCATATTGTCCTTTCCCATTCAAACCCATGGAATTCGGGGAAATTCCACCAAAAAGGTTTAGTTTTCCAGATTTAGCAAAAGTTGGTCATTTATAAGATTTGTTTTAACCTTCACTCCCATTTACTAAGTGCTAAAACTGGTGAATGTAACTGAAATACAGCTAAAACAGTTTGCTAACAGTTAGCATTTAGTTAGCTAAATGCTAACTGCTGGGAGCAAACAGTGTGTTGCTATGGTTACTAGTACTGGTTCTTCTCTGATGGGAAAACCAAGCTGGCTCAGAACCAGTCCAAGACCAGTCCAGAACTAGCCCAAGACCAATCCAGAACTAGTCCAAGACCAGTTCAGGAATAAAGATAATTTCGTACAAATACTGACATTGAAAACTAAACTCCATTGAGAAACAGAAAAAGTCACAAAGTTATGAAGACCAGAAAAGAAAATACACAGATTACTTACACTTCCCTGCTGTGGGAATTATTTTTTCATTTTAACACTGTGTGTTAAAATGAGGTGTACCATACTAATTGACATTCAGTTCACATTGTCATATTATAACTTTTATTAACTTGTAGATGTAGAATAGATTATAATCACTTTCATTAACTTGTTACAATAGCTTCCCATACGTCTGCATCGCACCACAAATTGACGCACTCCCCGGAACATGGGCCACACAAAGGTATCATTTTTGACTAGAAATACTGTAGATATTATTATTTGATCTTGCTTCCTCGCAGCCTCTCACAGTCACGGGCATGGACAGTGGCACAGACACGTCCACCACAGCACTCACCTGCACAAAGCACCACATCCTCATGGAAACAATGTAGAGGAAGAGGACAGCAGAGGGAAATCGGAGAAGAAAGGTACATGCCACAGTTGTAGTTTACATAGTGCTGTACACACACAAATGCAAACACCTCCTACAGCTGCTATGATAACCTGACAACATGCTTCTTAATTTAGTACCTATCCGCGTGCCTATTTTTATTTGAAACAATGACTGAAGCTCAAGTCAAATCTGTTGACAGCAAAAGAAAAAGCACAATGGGGGTGGGGCTGTGCTGCCTGAGAGGAATAAGAACTGAGTTATTTTTCTCATAATAATTGGATGGTTGACAAAAATAATAAGGCACTTTTTTCTCATTTTTGCTACAACCGAATAAGCTTGAGTTATATTAATACATCATTTCATTAATTTTTAGCAAGAGATCAAAAACGAATGTACTTTACCATTCCAGAATTGTACAGTACTTGCCGGACTAATAAGCTGCTACTTTTTTAACTGGTTTATACAGCGATGTGGTCGTTGTGTGTATTTTTATTTTGTTAGAGCTCCCCCTGGGGTACAGGAAGGGAAATGCAAGGAAATACACAGGATTATTTTGACTCCATCCACTTTTAGTAGCTATGGGATGCACGTTTATTGTACAAATAAATGAATAAATAGAATATACTGTTATCACTTTTATTATCATTATTATTATTATTTTCACTCCCCCCGACATGGTCCACAAAAAGGTACCATTTTGTACAGCACTTGCCGGACTATAATGGTACTTTTTAAACGTTCTCTGAATTCTGTGGTTTATCCAGCGATGTGGCCATTGTGTGTATTTTTATTTTATTAGAGCTCCCCCTGGGGTACAGGAAGGGAAATGCAAGGAAATACACAGGACTTGTTTGTGTTTAGGACTATTGCCAAAGTATTATGGACTTTATGGACTTACTATTTTGACACCATAATGTTTTAGTAGCTATTGGCACGTTTATGATCATCCCAGGTCGACATTAGATCATGCAGTTAAAACAGTCGTCTATCTGCTTTGTTTTTTTGCTCAGGTTTTGATGAAGTGTTCTTTACAACCTGAAAACCTGCGTCTTATATTCAAGTGAGGCTTACTGTATATGTGGACAAAATAATACTTTCTTTTGAAATTTAGCTGATGTAGTTTGTATACAGGTGCGCTTAATAGACCAGCAAGTACTGTGACAGGTAAAGTGCCATTGATTAGTCGAGGTCTTGGTCTTCGGTCCAAAGGCGTTGCTGTTAATTTTCTCTCCCTCTTCCTTTATATATTCTAATAGAAGGTTAACAGGAACGCAAAGCCATTTTGACACAATGACATGCAGCAGTGCGCAGCCATGAATTATAAATAAAAGGATGAATATTGAAGGATTACTATTATATATGCGCATTTCAAGCACAGAAATTATAGTTCGGAATAAAATGGAAAAATCGTGTGTAAAATGCTGAAAAAAATAAAAATACAGCCAAGACCCATAAAAACTGAGACTAGTTTTTATGACTATCTTTTGGATTGTGTTGTAATTGCCTTTTGCCTTTTTCCAGAACTTTAACACTATCATAGCTTGTAAAAAATAATAATTAGGTCAGGCAGAGTGTGTCCAGCCGTGTGTGTGTGTTTGATCATTCGAGCTGAGTCCCATAAGGATAACATCTGCAGTCTTTTTATCCGTTCGTGGGTATTTCTTGCATATACTTGTGACCGCGGGCCATTTGTGCAGCACATCAGGTGACTGTGTGAGTGCATGTTACATGTGAAACCAAAGCTCCTCTGTCCCTCAAGGGCTTCTGAAACTCTTGATCTCGGGAGAGCCGCAGGCCAAGCACTTGTTTGGAATCATATACAATGATTTCAAAGGTAAGACCAGAGCAGATGGTTTTCATACATGTTGTGATAAAAGCAATTCTCAATGTAATTTGTCTTAAAAAAAACAACATATGTGGCCAGATTCCTTTCCTTGCATGTTTCACTTTTCTTTTTCCCCTTCATGTTCTCTGTGTCTCCATTGTGTTTTCTGTCTGTTCACGAACAAGGTAAGAACTGCATCTACACTAACATACACACTAACACACATACACACACACACACTAACACACATGCATACACACAGTTTAGGAAGAGTTAACTTGGTAGAATTAAAAGTGTTGGGTCCATCTATATCAGACAATTGTAGGTTAATAGTTATTGTCTGGTATAGGAGAACCCAATGCTTTTATCACACACAATAACACACACACACTCACAAATACACACACAGTTTAGGAAGAGTCATCTTGTCTTCTTGGTAGAATGAAAAGTATTGGGTTCTTCTATTGCAAGGTAATAACATTGCTAACCTACTGTACTATTTTATTTGTATTTTCTGTCTGGTATGGAAGAACCCAATGCTTTCAACACACACGCACGCACACACACACACACACACACACACACACACACACACACACACACACACATCAACTGTCAACCCTACACCCTGCTCACACTTAACACTACACAATTGATAAACACCAATAAAGCAGCATCTTGATTTGAAACATTACTTTGTGGAATAAACTCCTTGTCTGTGGAGTAATTGTCCATTTATATTTAATTAGGCTCTTCTCCGTGCGCCTGAACACACCTCCCTCAGTGCTGAGAGAGGCACTTTAGAGTGGCCCTTTCCCTGGCTGCCTTTAAACCGTCTCATTAATATTTCAGCTAGCATCATCAACCAAACAATAATGAAATAATAATGTGGCTGCTGATTAAACAGCTAAACTCCCTTTTTTTTAATACGCTTTCAGACGTGTATTTGCATAAACATGGCCGGTAAAAGCCTCTTTAGCGGACAGTGATGCCTTACAGCACAGACCACTTCTGAAGCCGTCATTAGGAGCCGCACAGAGACGATTGTCAGAGCGCTGTAGGAAAGAGAAGGAAATATGATAATAACAGAAAACTGAAAAATAACTGACTGTATTGGAAGCAATTTTTGATGTTTGATTTTACTTGTATATAGTAGTAATTTTAGTAAAGTATGCAGTAAAACCATATCAGAAAAACTGTGCAAGACTGCCTCAGTGTGCACCAGGATAGTACACACCAGAGCTTGTTATGTATAAGTAGATTTTTTTTTATATATTTTTGTATTTTCTTTATAGATTTTTGTATTTTCTTATATATATATTTTTTGTATTTTCTTATATATATATTTTTTGTATTTTCTTTATTTATTTTTCTTTTTTCATATATGCATTTGTAGATGTTTCTATTTTCTTTATATTATGTATATGTGGATTTGTCTTTTTTCTTTTTTTTCATACATGCCTTATTCTATCTTTATTACTTGTTTTTTTGTTTGCAAACAGAGCCCAAGCAATATCCTAGTGTATGACTTCCTGCTACTTCCAAATGACAAAACAAATACATGTGATTCTGAGTTGTGCCTTAAATATTACCCCATCAGAAATGTGTAAAATCTCATATAATGAAATCTCTGTTGTGATTGGCTGAGGTTCTGGAGCGGTTTATTCCGGGACTCGTGGTGATGCTCCGCTCTTCAGTCGTGGCCCTGATAGTGATAGAAGGAGAAATCCCATCAGTAATCAGGGCAGAGCAGCAGTCAAGCACACTCAGCAAACCTGAGAGCCGCTAATGGAGAGCGAGTGACCCTTCTTCACTGAGCCAGAGCAAGAAATACACAAATACATACATACCACCACATCATCCAATCACAGCTCTTTAAAACATAGCGTAGCACGGATGCTCTTGTTTTCATTGTGACTGACTGTGTGTGTTTGATCCGTGCAGACTGTGAGTGCTACGGCCACTCCAACCGCTGCAGCTACATCGACTACCTGAACATCGTGACCTGTGTGAGCTGCAAGCACAACACCAGGGGCCAGAACTGCCAGCACTGCAGGCTGGGATACTACCGCAACGCCTCGGCCGAGCTGGACGACGAGAGCGTCTGCATCGGTCAGTGCGATGTCTGTACAGAAGGGCTGTATCTGTGCTCGTGTTGGCTGTAATAATAAGTGACTAATAATAAGCCCTAGTTTTGTATTGCTAGCTTTTTAGAATGATCATTTTTTTATTTATTTTTTGCTGCTACTAGACACCTGAATTTCTCCTACGGGATTAATAAAGTATCTATCTATCTATCTATCTGCCCACCCGTCCATCCATCCCTCTCTATCTATCTTTCTATCCAGTTTGTTTAATTCCAGTTTAAAAAACACTAGGACTGAAAAACCTGCACTGCTATTGCCACTCTTTCTTTTTATTGTACATAATTATATCCTAAACAGACTATATTTTTAACCTTTAACATATTGAGTCATCTGAGTGACTCTATCCACGCCAAATGTGACATGTGCATTTCTCCAGTGTGAGATCAATAATCTTATCTCATTTTAGGCTTTTATCAAATGGTTGAGACGCAGTTCGACGGTAAAAGTGCCTAAAACCAAGTGATAGAGATCGACCAAATGAGGTAGAATTCAGATCCAAGCTTCAAGTAGAGATTGTGACTATAAAAAAATGATCCACTAAATAGTTGAGGAAACAAATAAACTGTTTATTCTCTACTTTTTTTTTTACATTATGAAGGTAATTTGACATAATTGATTCGATTCATTCAACTTCCGGGTGGATCGCCGAGACTATTGGTCCCTCCCTAGAGTCAATCATTCTGGTGATACGTGCTCGGTAAAGAAGACCAGAGAGTTTTTTTTCTAAAAGTGGAGAGGGCGGTTCTTTACTAAAAATTTGGGGAAATCCTGCTTTATGCCTTTAAGTTAAGAGGGTATTAGGAGGAATAGATTTTTTTATTTATTTTTTATATACCATGTTATAATGTTAATCCATGTATCCCTCTTGTGGTCACTCCTTAGTAAAACTCAAACAGCTTTAAGCCAATCTGGTAAACATTACAGACAAAGATCTCTCAGACATGGAATTGGCAGAACTTTTACCAAAACATTACATTCTTTCTTTGCCAACATTGTTTTTATTCATGTTTTGTGATTCAACACGAGCACAAAGTATTGAAGGAACATGTAAAACAGACAAATACTATGTCGGTTTCAGTTCTTGATTCTTAGTTGGGGATGAGTTTGTGGGTTACTGAACATCACACTCTATTTCTTTCATAAAATTATTTTGCTGTTTGACTCCGGCTGCTGTAGGTTTTATCTCCTTGCCACCGTGGATGTGGATCAAAACATGTTGTATCCTGACTTAGCGTGATGCTGTTTTAATGCTAACATCTATTTTGTATAAACATGTGTGTCCAAAGGATTTCAGAGGATTTACACATAGACTTTGGTTTTTTCTTTGTTTACATGAAGAAGGCTTTGAGCAGAGCAGTGTAGAGAGTCTGTCTCATAATAATCTCTATCAACCTGAAACCCTCTCTGTACATTTGGTTTTAACCATTACTCCCCAGGTAAAAGTAGTTTATGACTCTAGAGTGAATCAACTCTGACAAAGACATTTATATAAAGAAATAAAATCCTTCTTTGGCTCCACTCTGGGACAAATGCTGGTCCTCTTTACATATCAGATAATCTGTAGTTTTATGTATATGTGTGTCAATTATGCCGCCTTTTTTCCAGGACTCCCTTGGAAAAAAGAGGTTATTTATCTCAATGGGACTTTCCTGCTTAAATAAAGGTTAAATAAACAAAATAAAAACGTGAATATTAAGTATACGACCATTTATTTTATCAAAAACACTTGGTTTACACACTGGTTTAAAAATATATCTCTCAACACAACATGTATATTGTGTATATTTCTATGTATTCAGTGAACTTTATTTGTATGTGCTTTAGTGAGCTCAAAAAAAGTAGACAGAAGTAAAAAATAAATAAATAATAATAATATTTACAAACGCCTGAATACATGGTCACTGAAAATATCTGAACTCTGGACATTATGAAGCAATTTGGATGTATAAAATGCGCTATATACATAAATATGACTTATGTGAAGTGCTAGGCTTCTTGTGACAGGTGTTATTGGTTGTATGGGCAGCACGGTGACGCAGCAAGAATGTCCTGGGTTCAATTCCACCTCCAGACATTTCTGTGTGGAGTTTGCATGTTCTCCCCGTGCCTGCATGCGTAGGTTTCCCCCAGGTGGTCTGGTTTTACCGCTAAAAACATGTACAATAGGCACCTCCTGTATGGCGAGAAAAATGTCCACAACAATTGTAAAGCGCTTTGTGACTCTGGTCTGTGAAAGGCGCTAAATTAATAAATATTACTTACTTACTTAGTTATTGCTTTGAAGTGTTGCACAGTAAACAATCATGGTTAGTTACAGATCGAATTTGCAGAATGACATCACAACTACAAAGTCATGTTTTTTATACAGCGTTTTTTTTTTTTTTTTAACAGACCAAGGTCACTCAAAGCGCTTCACAATGTTCATAATTCAGATATTGTTACTATCTTTCCACACACGGTGATGACGGAAGCGAGACGCCGAAAACACTGGTGCATCAAATCCCTAATCAACACCATGCACTCACTCATTACACTCAGACCTATTGTACATGTTTTTAGTGGTAGGTGAAACTGGAGCACCCGGAGGAAACCTACCCAGACACGGGGAGAACATTTATTTATATATTTATTCACAGTTTCTTTACTATTATCAGTAAGAGAGATGAACCATCTTGTTTTCGAGGGGATCCTCAGTTCAAATTCACACAAAAAACAATCTAGACAGCAGATCAGAATAACATAAGACAGAAAAAATAATAACAATAAATACATGAATATTAATAATAGCAAAAAATAAACATGACAATGATTAAAATCAATAATAACCCAAACCCTCTCACTCGCACACACACTCAGACTCTCGATAGTCCACCCTCCACCCCCATCAGAGAAATGAAACTTTTCATATACAGCAGGGGTGCCCAAACCTTTTGCTTCCAAGGGCCAAAGTAAAAATTTGCCAGTGGGCCGCGGGCCAAATACACCAATATTATGCATGAAACACAAATAAATGTAGATTTGATCAAGTTCTTTTAAATGCATTAAGTATTGTCTATCAGTGCAAATCACAGCTGAATGAATGAAATCAACACAGTCTTAGTGAAGTGGAGACTCCAGGGAAATATGCAGGTTTGAGGAGACTACAGTACGGAAAGATTCCGGCGGGTAATCAGGGTCCAGAGGAGGGAGATTTTCTGTCATGGCTTATTTAAAAGTTAAAATCATATAAAAAACCTCTAAAAGAGAACAGAAACATACATTTTGTGTGCACCATGTGCACTTGTATATTGTAAATAGTAACTGTAACTATTTTAAATTTAAATTTATTCCTTAGAAGTGTTTTTTATTCTTTATTTTTATTATCTCTGTTGCACTGAGCCAAAGCAATTTCCAAGTCTATTTTCATATATTTATTTTGAACAAAAGTTTTTAACTACATTTGAATCATATTACTTTATCTTAGCTTTTATCAAGGGGAGACATCACTGATCAATAGATCTGGTTTTAGCACACTTTTAAACAATACATTTTAACATTAAGTAATGAATTTGGGAACATAATTGCTAACTGCATTTTCTAAACATGATCAGGTTTTAACTCTGTTTTAACATAGGACAAGTATTCTCAATTAGTAGTAAACTGAATATTAAACTAACAAAATCAGACTAGTTAACCATGATTTGTTCCTGGAGTTTTGTTTTGTTTTGCCTAAACACAGTACAACATTTATAAACAATCAAAACAAAGTAACTGTTAAAGAGTCCGAGTTTCCGCTCCTCCAAAGGGCTCTTGAACGCATCATAAAACTCTGCGTAAGTTCTGTCTGACATTCAATGATCGCGAGTGAGGACGGCGCTTACCGGCTTCTTTCATGGGGCTGTAGAAGGGTTTGTTTTGCACAGTATTTGTTGCTTCTACTTGCGTGGATCGTGCGCTGCGATCCCTGCTTGTCCTGCTTGAACTCACTGTGTTTGTGTCCGTCCTTTTTAACACACCGGGTGGGTGCGGATTGCGCAGGTGAATAGTTCCACTCGCCATTTCCCTCCGGTGAGGAGGGGGAGTGGCAGTTCGGCAGCACAATCCTCTCAATTTGATAAAACATTAAATAGCTCCAAAAAATAATAATAGTAGGCTGAAAAAAAAGAACATAAAGGTGCCTTGCACCCAATTGTTTTGAAAGATGTGTTTGATTTTAAAAAACATTTTAGTGCAAGTTGATGTGAACCATGAGTGAGGAGTGTATCTCGATACAAGAGATAAGTACTGGACAGTTGGAATTGAGAGGGTGAGTATGCGCCTGCATGACCTCAGACATGTCACTGTTAATTCAGCGAGGCTGAGGGACGCAGATAGGAACTAATAGCGGAGGTGGCCAATGTTTGGCGGGCCAACTGAAATGGTCTGGCGGGCCCCACTTTGGGCGCCCCTGATATACAGACTGTACAGTGCGTAACATCAGCAAGTACAACAACAACCAAAAACATGCAAACTCCACTCAGAAAGGCCCTGTTCCGACCGGGATTCAACCCCAAGACCTTGAGAGTGCCACCCACTCAGCCACCGTGCCGCCAAAAACAAACCATCGAACTGTATGAGACACAACAACAACATTTAGATGCCACAAAGACATCTGAGTGAATCCTTTAAGTTTGAAATGTTATTTTTACCGATTGTAGGTTTTAATGATTGTGATAAAAGTCTGACCGGCCGAACACTGTGCTCCTCAGAGTGCAACTGTAACCAGATGGGCTCAGTCCACGACCGCTGCAACGGCACCGGCTTCTGTCAGTGTAAAGAAGGAGCCACCGGAGCCAAGTGTGACGACTGTGTGGGCGGATTCTTCTGGAAACAAGGCTGTTACCGTAAGTCACTGACCTCCTCCACCTTCGTGCTCTCACTACTGCACTGCAACGACAAACACATGTGGTCTGTACAGTACGTAAACTGTGTCGTAGAGATGGACCGAGACGGAGCCGCCATGAGCTGAATGTGCCCCTCCCACAAAGTCACACAAACCAGACCATGTTTTGAACCAGACTCAAAAACAAGAGTGTTTTTGTATCCACTTTCAGAGCGAGTGGGATCACGTCAGAATGCAAAATGTCTTAATTAATTTATTTTATTTTATTTTATTTTACCAGTGAGATTAGCTTGACACTGTGAGTTCTTTCTGATTGGTAAACCAATGGAGGGCGGGACATCGAAATGAAAACAATAACAAGATTCAATTATCTCTGAACTACTGTTATAACAGTGGCTAAGTTGGTAGAGCATTGGCCTTTGAGCCTGAAGGTCGTAGGTTCGAGCCCACCATGAGACCTACTTCACGACTCCCACTGATGACTGCTGTCGTTGTGTCCTTGGGCAAGACACAAGGACCCTCTGTGCCCAAAGCCCCTGCTGGAAGATCTCAGCTCCTGTGGACTCACCACCGGGTGAGTGCAGGTGGTGAGTCCACAGGAGCTGAGACCACCTGCAGGCATCAGTGAGGGGCTGGTGCTATGTGTACTGGGTGGCATCTCTGGCCACCCCCCCCAACCCAGAAATGGATTAAGGGGAAGAAAATGGATGGATGGATACTGTTATAAGTTAAATAAGAGCATGGTTTATTAATACCTTTTGACAGATTAGGGCCCTTTAATGAGGACTTGACATAAAAATCTTACACATTGCTACTTTAAGCACATTGGGTTGTATTTATGTATTTAATGTGCTATATAAAAACACTTCCTTCTGCTGTAAGTGCTGCTCTGAAACCAGGCTGTTCGTGTTCGCTACAGAGCCCGGGCTGTTGTTGTGATGTTGTTGTAATGTTGTGTGTGCAGCGGCTGTGACGGAGCAGACCTTTGTGAGTGCACTTAAAGCCTGTGCTTCACGTGTGTTTTCTGGACTCCAGGGGAAATGTATCATATCTCTCATTAGCCGCATCAGCTGTGGCTCTAATTGATGACCCTGTCACGCCTTAACCCTATTACACCGGCTCTCCTTGCTCTCTTCAGGCCTCTGCATACAAACATCTAATTTACCTGGTTTTATAGCTTTGTAGAACAGTATGTTTTAAAGGAGCAGTATGTTAAAATCTGGCTCGGGTTGCCAAATATGTAGACGAATCCAGCTGGGACCATAATAACTGAATAGACAAGATATACAAATATATAACCAACAGCTTTTTCACAAAGGCCCAAATAGAAATCCTTGTTTTGTCATTTGCCACATTCTTTACCAGTGAGATTAGCTCGATGCTGTGAGTTCTGGCAACCTGGATCACAGCCTTTCTGATTGGTAAAACAGTGGAAGGCGGGACATTGAAAGGAAAATAATAACAAGATTTAGGGGCTGTAAAACTAATTTTGAAATGTAAATATCTCGGCTTAACTACTGTTATCAGTTAAATAAGTATTTGATGGTTCATTAATGCCTTTTGACAGATTGTGACCAGTTAATGATGACGTGACAAGTTCAATCTTACATAATGCTACTTTAAATGTGAGTGCAGCCACCAGTATCTGCTGTGTTAATGATGTGTAATTATCATCTATCATCAGAGTTTTCTTTTCTTTCCCACAGTATCTAGGTCAAGTGTCTATGCAGCTCTGTGTCTCCCTAAATCTTTTTATAGCCTTCTAATGATGTCATTTGTTTAATCATTACACTAATATCACAAACCCTGCTTTTCGCGCCGGGCTGGAACAAATATTTCCGCTCAAATCTAAAGGCCAAGGGTGAATTTAAAAAATGAAAGAAAGAAAAAAGCCGCAGAAGACACAGTGGGTTTTGGCTCCACCGCATGCTTTATGGACCTGACCCACAAAAACCCAGCACAATAGCCCATTAGGCTTTCAGAAAGTGTTTTTAAAAATCCCTGACCCTGTTTTTTTTACTTCTGCAGCTAACGTGTGCGACGAAGAGATGCTCCTGTGCCAGAACGGAGGGACCTGCTTCCAGAGCCAGAAGTGCATATGTCCTCCGGAGTTTAAAGGTGTCCTGTGCCAACAGTCTCGCTGCGAGGCGGGGAAGGACTGCAACAGCGCACCCTCACTACACTCCACAGCTGTGCTACTGTTCTGCACTCTGCTAACTCACCTGCTGGCCACGTTAAGCCCCCACTGAGCCCCAGCACCGGTCTGCGTGCGCGTGTGTGTGTGTGTGCGTGCGTGTGTGCGTGTGTGCGTGTGTGAGTGTGTGTGTGTATAGTGTGTTTGAGGCAGACGCGGCCTCCTGACAAACGCACTGCAGCACTATAAGCACAGCCACGAGTAACTTTGCCCGAGACGCTTTTGGACACGGACCACACGAGACTGTTCTGGCACCTTCAGAGTGGAGTGTGCTCAGGTGTGACCAAGACTTTACAGGGCAGTGACCTCAACACCAACAGAACCAAGGAGAGAAACCAAGGAGAGAAACCAATGAGAGAAACCAAGGAGAGAAACTAAGGAGAGAAACTAAGGAGAGAAACCAAGGAAGCGTATCCAAGGAAGTGTATCCAAGGAAGCGTATCCAAGGAAGCGTATCCAAGGAACCTTATCCAAGGAGAGAAACCAAGGAAGCGTATCCAAGGAAGCGTATCCAAGGAAGCGTATCCAAGGAAGCGTATCCAAGGAAGCGTATCCAAGGAAGCGTTTCCAAGGAAGCGTATCCAAGGAAGCGTATCCAAGGGAGCGTATCCAAGGAAGCGTATCCAAGGAAGCGTATCCAAGGAAGCGTATCCAAGGAAGCGTATCCAAGGACGCGTAACCAAGGAAGCGTATCCAAGGAAGCGTAACCGAGGAAGCGTAACCAAGGAAGCGTATCCAAGGAAGCGTAACCAAGGAAGCGTATCCAAGGAAGCATATCTAAGGAAGCGTAACCAAGGAAGCGTATCCAAGGAAGCGTATCCAAGGAAGCGTATCCAAGAAAGCGTATCCAAGGAAGCGTATCCAAGGAAGCGTAACCAAGGAAGCGTATCCAAGGAAGCGTATCTAAGGAAGCGTAACCAAGGAAGCGTACCCAAGGAAGCGTATCTAAGGAAGCGTAACCAAGGAAGCGTATCCAAGGAAGCGTATCCAAGGAAGCGTAACCAAGGAGAGAAACCAAGGAAGCGTATCCAAGGAAGCGTATCCAAGGAAGCGTATCCAAGGAAGCGTATCCAAGGAAGCGTATCCAAGGAAGCGTATCCAAGGAAGCGTATCCAAGGACGCGTATCCAAGGAAGCGTAACCAAGGAAGCGTAACCAAGGAAGCGTAACCAAGGAAGCGTAACCATGCCAACCACTGTTCCCTTTATCTCAGCGCTGGAGCAAAGTACATAAAAACCAAAAAGCATAAACACTTCCTGCACCACTGTCACTTCAAAGGGAATGGCTGTTCAAAAAAAAGACAAAAGAAAAAACCCGGACGTTTCTGTTTCTTCTGTTTGAGTTTCGGGGCTGTTGTTTAGACCGCTCTCATGGCTGGCCAATCAGTAACCAGCTTGTTGCGATAAGTCTTAAAGGGCAAGATCCTATTTAACTTGCTGCTGAAGGCAAACGATATATTCTTAGGTTTTATTTCTACGAAGAAATGGGACATGGTTTCGTTTTTTATTTCTCTTTCTGCTGCAACTTTACATATTCTTAAGTATAAATGTATCTACGTGCCCACCAACAGCAGAGATATACATTATGTAGTCGGGGGTTACCAATTATTAAGATTTACTCACTATTATGGATGTTATAAGAATGAGTGATTGTTGCCACACTTAACGAGATTTACTCTTCACACAGTATTCAGGAAGCGATTCGTTTGTTTGGAATTATAAAAGAGAAAGAGAAAACATTATCAAAACACTATAAATACTATATTACATAATTTCAATATTTTTTGTAGAAATTATTTTTGTTTGGAGTTACAAGAAATTTTAAAAAGATTAAAATTATGACTATTCCAAATGAGCGTTTTATTACTCTGGTTGTAAAACTTGCAGTAAATATGGCTGTTATTTGGTTTCTTGTGTTCATTTCTTGCCATTCACAAACACAAACGATGTTGGGTTCAGTTTGTCATTTGCAGTAAAACCCCATTGGAATACATGTGCAAAAGTCCCCAGTGAGCCCCAGAGAAGTACAGGAAGACAATAAGGTAGAAAAATAATAATAATAAAAAAGTACAGGAATATATTATTTAATGATTCTTTCTTGGTAGATAAGAGTTTGATTCTGGGAAAAAAACTTGCTGGAATGTTCCCAACCAAAACAAAAAAATGGCGGCCGATAGTAATTATCTGACACATTTGCAGATGAGTCCAGGCACAGTGTGTGTTAATGAACCGTAAATTCACCAGGCCGTTGTCTTGGATCATTTGCATCGGTTCCACACACACCTGGAGACCTGAGACTGACACAGGGAGAACATGCAAACTCCACCCAGAAAGGTGGAATTGAACCCTGTGCCACTTTGCTGCCAAAAAGATGATGAATTGTTTAGGAATTTTGTCAATAATGATAAAAGGGAAAAATTGACTCTCTTATCTATCAATTTGAGAGAAAGATGAAAGACATGGAGAGTTTTTTATTTTTTTTATTGGATCCTAATTAGCTTCCACAAGTGGTCGCTAGTCTTCCCGGGGTCCACTCAAAACCCCGCAAGAATTAATACTAAAACTCTATTACAAATATATTCTAAAAAGATGTTTTATTTATTATGGAAGAACACATTGTTGATCTTATATTAGGACATATGCAAGAAGGTCGGAGGTTCAATTCCCACGTCGGAATGGGCCTTTTCTGTCTCTCCCAGTGTGTGAGTGGGTTTCCTCCGGGCGCTCCGGTTTTCCCCCACCACCGCCCAGAACATACAGCACCGGTAAGTCCTCCAGCCTCCGTGTCCTGAGGAAGAGGAGCAGCGACATCTGGAGGTGGGTTCCTGAAAGCGTGACCCGGTGACGTGGAAGAACGGGTCAAATGCTGAAGGCGATGGGGCAAACAAAGGGAAGGCGGGTGAATAGCAATGAACATGGATTTCAGAGAGTAGAAAGGGGTGTCACATTTTCAGAAAGGCATGCTCTAGATTTAGTGAGTTTAATGGATTTGGAGCCTGCATAAGACAATTTCACTCTAACTCAGGCTTGAAAAGGGGTCGGATGAAGCGGTAGACGCTCTCACACATTCAACACACAATAACACACACTCTACAATACAACGAATCAACACAAAATAGTTTCAGACTTGTTTGGATCAGAGCAATGTAAAAATACGGCTATAATTACTTACTAAATATCTTATTGTGGAATAGAAGTGAATGAATTAAAGTGGTTAATTATATCCAATTTTAATTTTTAACAATAGTTTCACACTAATATATATTTTTTTTTAAAGTGAATATTTAAACAATCCTTCACATCACTTTAGTTGCAAATCTGTATCACGTTATTCTTATTCTATTTTGACAATGTGAATGTAACATTTGTGACTGAAAAGATCAGTCACAAAAAAAAGTTGCTCAAAATCAGACCCAGAGTTTAAAGGCAGTTTGGAAGTTTTTTTTATAATCCAGGCACACAAAAAACACACAAAACAGGAGAGATTCACAAACACAAGGAACACAACAATCTGGAAAATGGGGCAAAGAGCACACAAAGTAAACACACAAGGAAACAGGTGAGGCTCGTCCAGGGCGGGGCAGGAACAACGACAGCAAGTCAAGCCGGGGATAATAACAAGTGAGAAAGATTACAAAATAAAACACAGAAAAAACAAACAGCGTCTCAAGCGTAAAGTCATGAGGACGTTCTCCGATCACATTCAACTCTTTTGGGGGAAGGGCGATAAGAGGAAATAAATGAGATGAATGGTCCAAACGCCTCATTATGGACTCTCTTTGGAATCACTTATTTTAAGGATTAATCTTCCATAGAATAATACTTTCAGTGCATGTACAGTCAATTCAAATCAATGTATTTTCTATGGCCCTAAATCAGGGGTCCCCAAACTGTTTTACCTGGAGAGCTGCTTTCTCAGGACAAGAATGAAACAGAGCGACTCCTTTAAGCGTCTGGGGACAAGGAGTCTTTTGAATGGTGAGAGAAAGCCTTGGTACTGTTACTATCAACAGTAAATATTTCTAATTTATCACATTTTTAGTTTTCATTTACCTTTAGGTTGTTGGCATGTGTATTATACGTTTTTAACAAAATCTAAATCCTTTGGTGAGCTAATTGTAATGGGGGTGGTGAGCTAACGATAGCTCCTGAGCCACAGGTCGGAGAACCCTGCCCTAAATCATTACAGCAGGTATCTTGGAGGACTTTACAAAGTTGTTGATTCTTCAACGTCAATCAGAGAATCAAACCGTTTAAAAATAAGAAATGCAATAGTACCAAACTCATAGGAGCCATTGGTTCATAACGGGCAGATGACCAATGTCCATAAATGTTAATAAAAGTCAATAATCCGCACTGTCCTAAGACCCTCCTGCATCGGTAAGAAACAAAAACCAAAAAAACAATGGGGAAAAGTGAGAAAGGTCAGGGAGGCCCATAATGAGCAAGGGATCTGCTCCCGCGAACACACAGGCGTAGATCCCGGACTCAGGCCAGAGGTCAGAAGTCATCAACTATACTTGTCCAGAGTTTTACCAGGCAGTCTCATTGGGGCCGGGCCCCCAAAGAGAAATTTTAATCAGATTCATTTATTTGCCATTTGCATTAAAACCACCTTGGAATACATCCACAAAAGTCCCCAGTGTGCACAGTACAAATAAAACAAGGTTAAAAGTACAGAAATAAATTATACTAATAATGCATCGGTTTTATTTGGCACTTTTTTGGTCGCTTCACATGTCATTATTCTTTCACTCCAAACACGGTGGTGATAAACTTCTACTGTAGCCATAGCTGCCCTGGGGCACACTGACAAGGCACACTGAGGCAACCAGTTTGTACCATCAGTCCCTCTGACGATCACCTTTTTTATTTATGTAACCAGGGACTGCAGATGGAAACTAGCATTTTAGCAATGCTCTGGTGCAGAACATATCTGTCTCTGTACATTGTCCCTTCAAATAAAGACTAAACTATATTTTGCATGCAAGTATGGCCACATGACACAGCAACAAGTGTAGTGGGTTCGTGTGCCCAAAAAAACGATTTATTATTTA